TGTTTCCACAGGGACGACCTGGCCCAGCTGCCCTTCCTCACCATGTGCATTAAGGAGAGTCTGCGCCTGCACCCTCCAGCCCCAATGATCTCCCGACGCTGCACCCAGGACATTGTGCTCCCAGATGGCCGGGTCATCCCCAAAGGTGCCCAAAACTGCAGGGGGAGGAGCCTAATTGGCAGGAGCAGGGGCCCATCAGGCAGTGGGGCCCTGTCCGGACTGCTGCCTCCTTTCCCACAGGTGTGATCTGTGTCATCAATATTTTCGGGACCCATCACAACCCAGCTGTGTGGCCGGACCCTGAGGTGCTACCTGACCCCCCATTTTACCCATTCCAGGGGTCCTACAGAGGGAAGGGCTTCGACAGGGAAATCCGAGGTCTTCTCTCTCCCCCACTACCAGGCACTCTCATCTGTCTCTCCAAGGCTGGCTGTCCTGGGACACCCAACCAGCAAGCCTGTCTCCCTCTCATCCCCAGGTGTATGACCCCTCCCGCTTTGACCCAGAAAACGTCAAGGAGAGGTCACCTCTGGCTTTTATTCCGTTCTCCGCGGGGCCCAGGTGAGGGTGGAGAGTGTCCCAGGCAGGAATGGGGTGCAGGATGGGTGCAGGGGTCTGGGCATGAGGATGGGAAAAGCTGGGGCAAAGGGGAGCTGCAGATGGTCACAGTTTCAGCTCTCCTTCCCTGCCCCCTCCCGAGGTCAAGGGCAAAGGTCCATAGAATGGGGTCCTGAGAGGGGACCCTTCCGCTGTCTGCTGTTGTGAGTTGGGGACTGCAGTCTGGGCCAGGCTCAGGGGTTATGCAGTCCCATGCTGTGTGTGTGTGTGTGTGTGTGTGTGTGTGTGTGTGTGTGTGTGTTGTGGGGGGGTGTCCAGGGCGTACTTAGCTCCTCTCTCTGCCCCTCAAGCTGCTCTGGGTCGGGGTGGGGGCCCCAGGCCAGGTTGCAGGTGTGATGGGGGCGGGGTACTCAGAGTCGCCGCCCCCACCCCCAGGAACTGCATCGGGCAGACGTTCGCCATGACCGAGATGAAGGTGGGCCTGGCGCTCACGCTGCTGCGCTTCCGCATCCTGCCCGATGACACGGAGCCGCGCAGGAAGATGGACGTGATCATGCGCGCAGAGGGCGGCCTCTGGCTGCGGGTGGAGCCGCTGGAGGCGGGCCAGCGGTGACCCCTCTACCCCATCCACTTACCTTTGCAGATTCCCGGGAATAAAACTGTGCTGTCACCTCTGCCTGAGCTTCTTCGAAAACCAGCAGGGGACCCTTGGGGACTGCAGGGATCCAGGGGTGGGACTCGGTGGGTGGAACTAGGGCTGGGGCCTCTGAGCTGGACACCCTGACCGCCTCTCTGGCTGACCAGAGAGCTCCTGTGCCAATCGCTGGTTCTCTCAGAGCCCAAGTATGGACTTTACTCTGTAGGTGATAGGGAGACATGGGAGGTGTTTGAGCAGGAGAGGGACCAGGGTTAAGGACAGATTTAAGGGGCAAGGTTGAGGCTCTGAGTCAGGAGGAAAACAGTAGCAGCAGAGTCCTTAGTCTGGGCTGCAGGTGCTCCTGCCAAGACAGAGCCCCCTGCCCACCACACAACACAGTACAGAAGGGCCTGTAGCTTCCACCCTGGCAGCTCTCTCAGACTGTTGGTTCCCTTACTGCTCTTGTCGAAGTCCCACCCTGTGTCTGCCCCTCCAAGGAGGTCCCATCCGTGACCCCTTCCCCTACCTTCAGGGAGCCCCTCCTTTCCTCTTCTGGGCCCCTAATGCTGCCAGGGCAGCCCGGACAACACACACTGACTGAGCCCACTCAGGAGCTCCCACAGGAGTGTCAGGGGAGGCTCCTCCCCACCCCCTCACCGCCAGTCCCTCCTTCGTTCCCATCACAGGCCTCCCGGGCCCATCTTGGGTGGGGTGGGGGCAGCGCCATCCCATTTGAATGTTGAGATTCAAAGCCAGACCCCTGGACACAAACGCCAACCCCAGAAGGATGGGATCTGGAGCCTGACTGCTTGAGTTCAAGTCTGGGCTCTGCTGTGTGACTGGGGCAAGTTAATGTCCCTCTTTGTGCGTCTGTTTCCTCAACGCTATAATGGGGACAGCACTACCTACCTCAGGACTGTCCTGAGGGCTAAATGCAAAGGACAGAGCTCTGTCTAGTGCACAGTTAATGCTCGATAAATGTGGCCACATCACTGCCTCTCTCAGAAACTCTGTTGAAGCGTGCTGCCTTTCGGGGTAGTTGTTCCTGCCACGACTTTTAAGAGTGTGCCTTGGAACTCAGACACAGGAATTGCAAGGTTTGTGCTCGTCGAATCAGGTCTTTCCCCTCCAGGCTGTGCGTACAGGAAGCAGTTATTTCTGAGAGTGATGGGCCACCTGAAGGTGCCAGGAGGTGGTGAATGACAGTAACCTTAGTTAACGTCTCAAAATATTGCCCTGCTGCAAATGCTGAACTCTTCATAGCCTGAGGGACTCGGCACCACCGAGGCCTGCTGAGTCCTCGAATCCCTCCAGCTGCACTCGGCCACCCTGGCCTTGATCCTTTCCTCCTAATAGATTATCTTTCCTTGTCTGGGGGCTGGTGCGTTGCCTTTGCACCTTTGGCAAAGATCCGTTGCTTGTCCTTCCAGGAGTCTATTTTCTGTGCTTCCTAACCTGTTGCATTGTCTTTCCCCAAGACCACAACGTCTGGACGACTGTAGTTTTGCTCTGTCTTGAAGTTGGAGAGTGCCAGTCCTCCAACTTCGTTCTACTCCTTCAATACGGTCTTGCCTAATGTGGGTCTTTTGTCTCTCCATATACATTTTAGAATTAGTTTTTTGGTATCCACAAAATAACTTCCTGAGATTTCTGTTGGGATCGTATTGAATCTATAAGTGAAGTTGTGAAGAACTCATGTTCTGACAACATTGAGTTTTCCTGTTTTTGAAGAAATTCTCAAGGAGCGCTGTGGAGCCCGGGCTGGCTTCAAACCCCGCAGTGTGCAGGGACCAGGATCTGGCGCAGAGCGCCCCTGCTTCAGGAAAACAAGGCGCTGCGGGAAAGGTGGCTGCCCTCTCGCCCATCATATGAAGCACAGTCTTGGGAACCTGGTGCTAAACCATTCCTAGAAGATCCACTTCTGGTTGAGGGTTTCACTCCCAGCAGAGAGCTCCCTTGGTGGGATCTATGGAAACTCAGCCCTTGACACAGGGTTTGTCCTGCTGCCCCTCGAGTGTCTATGCATCCACTGTCCTTCCTTCTCTCTGTCCCTGGGGGCTCGAGAGTGCGTGCCCTAGAAGGACATGCTGAAATTTCGGCACAATCGTGTGAACAGTACTTGGAGGGAACAGGCATGGCTATCATATTATGGGCTATTTGTTACCTGGGATAGTGGGATGGTGGTTGTATCTTTCAAAGAAAGGGTTACGTGTCAGAGAGCCATACTCAAGTCATTGTGGGTTGAGTAATACAGAGCTTGGGATTTTCTTACCAATACTGTAGCCCATTCATGGCAGAGTTACAGACGAAAGAGAATTGGTTTAGTGTTTACAGCTATTGAGACATCAAAAATCATTATGTTTTTCTTCTACTTTTGTGTCTATTGGAAATTTCCACATAAAATTTAATCAATGTGATTTACCTATTATTATGTTAGATGCACACATAGCAATGTAAGTGAATTTTAAAAATACTATCAAGTGAAAAAAGCAAAAAATATCAACTCTGTAGCAAAATTCCATTTGAGCACATTAAAAATATATGTACATAAAACTATCATGTATGAACCAGTAAGGATGGACACATGCCATTTGTCAAAATTCATAGAATGTGAAATGCAAAAAGTGAACCCTGATGTAAACTGTGGAACTCGGTTAATAATAATGTATCAATACTGGTTCACCAATTGTAACACACGCACCACTCTAATGCAAGATGTAAATAATAGGGAAACTCTTATTTACGGGGATGAGGGAAATCTCTGTGCTTTCTCATCAATATTTCTACAAACCTAAAATTTCTCTAATAAATAAGTCCATTCGTTTAAAGTAATTTTAAAACATATGTGCACATAATGAGCAATGTGCATCTTACAAAAACATATGCAAATCAAAAAGTTCAGTATTGTAAACTAAAATAGAATTTTAAGGCTCACCCTCCACCGGCTGACTAAATGGATCCCCTCTTGGCCAAAGGAATATCCTAAAACTAAATTGTCTGCCAGGAGGAAGGTCAGACATGCCTTATCATGCCCCCTCCCCTTCTTAGGGACATTCTTTGTAACCCATTAACAGGCCTAAGGGTATTGAAGACTAAGCTCTGATCTTTTTCTTTTGCTCAAAATTCCTTCCTAAGGAGGTCAGATGAGTCATGCCTACAAATGATAAAATCTCAGTAAACAGGTTTTCCATGACATTGTTTACTTCCCAACCTGATTATGTTATAACGTCATGTAATAGATAAAAGACCCTCAAACATTCCTTTCAGCTGGCATCTTGTGATAGATAAAAAACCCTCAAACATTCCTTTCAGCTGATTCCTGGTCTTTTGGACACAACCTAACTCTTTCAGCCAATGGTCAACTGATGAATCCCTGAAGCTACCTATCATTTGTAAGCCCCTGCTTTGAAATGTCCCACCTTTTTGGGCCAAACCAATGTATGCCTCCCGTGTATTGATTTATGACTTTACCTGTAACCCCTGTCTCCCTGAAATGTATAAAACCAAACTGTAACCCAGCCATACTGAGGCCACTGCTGAAGACCTCTTGGGCGTGGATCCAGGTCATGGTCCTCGAATTTGGCTCAGAGTAAATCTCTTTAAAATTATTTTACAGAGTTTGGTCTTTTTTCCGTTGAGAGTATCTTAGATTGTCTGTCAAAAAACAGAGAAGGGAAATGGGGTGACAGAACGGTGATCAATAAATGAAATAAGAAAAGGATCTTTTGCAAACCCATGGTCATCAAAAATCACAAACTGGAAAGGTGGACTCAAACCTCCACACCTGAACTCTACCAGAAAGTAAACAAAAATACTTTTACAAATACCTTGAGCCAGTTCGCTAAGAAGAGTTCCTGAAATCCGTGGCTCTGAGACAGGACCACCCACATGTCTCTTTCTGGTTATCAGGGATTTGTCTCCCAAGTATTCCCCCAGCAGGGGTCAGCCTACAGCTTGGAGGACACGGAATCACCTGGATGATGAAGAACTTCACAGGAATGAGGACCAAGCATCCCACGTGGGAAGACAGCACTTAAGACCTGGAGGGAAAAGTCTCTGAGCACCTAGTGACCCTGCCCAGAAGTCACGCACCAGCATCAGCTCCCTCTGTCCCTCACCCTCCGAGCACTGGGTATCCTCTCTCCCTGCTACACAGCTCTCCCTTTTCTCCCCTCCCCTCCAGCCTCCTGGCCCCATCCCCTCCCCCCAGTACCCCTGCCCATGCTCCTTCTCTGCAGCCGCTCCACTCTGGCTTCCAGAGAGAATGTTCTGAAACACACACAAGCCATAGAGTCATCAGACCCTGGGCTCCAACCCCAGCTCCCACTGTGTGACTTTGGAGAAAGAACTTTCCATCTCCGAGCGTCCTCTGCCCAACTGCAAAATGGGGGTGACCAGAGAACTGCCTCCGGAGAGTCCATGAGGATTCAGGTAAAGGGCTCAGGGTTCACGTAGGAAAGGGAGTCGTCACTGAGTCTGATATCATTTTCCGTCTTCTGAGCTGGTTTCTTTGCATCCCTCGGTACCAGATGTCACTGACTGGCCCCATTCTAGGGGGCTCTGCCTCCAGCAGGGCCCTGAGGACCTCTGGTAATGTCACGACAGTTCGCCCAGGGGCCGATCCAACTGTGACCCTCTCCCCAAGCCCCTGCCTCACCCCTGCGGTCTGCCTTCCCACCTCCTGCTGGGGAGAGCACCCAGGGCTCTCGGGGCTGGGCTCCCCCTTCTCTGCCAGATGACAGAACTGTGTCCACTCTGGTCTCACTGAGGATGGCCCACACACAGGTGCTGAGCAAACACCTCACAGCTTGGGAACCCACCCAGCTCCACCCACCTTCCCCACGTCTCCCCACCCGGGTTAGCAGGGACACAACAGCGAAGGCAAAACACACCTGGAACAGGGCTTCTCGACCTCGGCACCAGTGATGTTTGGGGCCGGGTCATTACGGCGGGGGCTTCCCTGTGCGTTGTCTGACGTTTAACAGCATCCCTGGCCTCAAACCACGAGATGCCAGAAGAACCCCACCCCAAGT